ATAGTTGCACATCCTTCTAGTGCTGTACGTGGGACGCGGCCTCAGCATGGCCGGACAAGCGGTGCGTTGGTGTGCACCCGGGATCCGAACCCAGGCCACCAGTAGCGGAGCGCACACTTAACCGCTAAGCCATGGGGCCGGCCCTGGACATGTATTTTTAAATAAGATTTTAACATCTTGTTAAATTTAGAACTGATAAGGCATTTTGGGTGTACAGGGCTAGGGCAAGGGATTTATAAACATATCTGGAAAGATGTATCTGAGATAAATGGACATAAAGTGAGAGAATAAAATTAGTATGTCTAGTAATTTCACTGTAAATTCATCAGGGCTTGAATCAAGAGTGATATAGATATATGATATATATATGATACTGAGAGACACACACATACTTATGTCTCTATCTATCTATCTAATCTGGTATCCTTTTTTCAATGCACTTGGAGAAAAAGCTAGAAAATGGAAAAGCAATTCACGACTGGCATGTGAAAAGCCACTTTTTCAAAATTCTTTTCCTCCTATTTAGTTCTAATTTTATAAATGAAAAGTCAGGCATAGTAAATAAAATTATATTTCTATCTTGCTTTCTTTAATATATAGCACAGTAGGTAGGATAAATATATAATGAATACTTTTAATGATACTGTAGAAGATAAGAGTGAGAACTTTTTTTGAATCCTGACTACCAACTCCTGGCTTTGTGACCCAGAGCAAATGATGCGAGCTTTCTGTACGTTAATGTCATCATTTGTAAAATGGAGATCATTATAATGCCTACCTCGTAGGGTTGTTGTGAGAGTTCGTTAATTCACGTTCCGAGTGCCTGACATATAGTAAGCACACAGTAAATGCCAATTAAGTATTAAGCAATTGCCTTAGCCTTCGACGGTTAACCTTCAAGGAGTCCTAGGAAGTGGCTTCATCTAGGAAAAGGTTGCAACTTAAAACATATATTAGTATATTTGACAAGGAAAAAAAGTTTTGGCTATAAGTAAGATTGTTTGGGTAGTACTGGGACAATTTCTGTCACCCATCCTACCCAATCTTCCAGAAGATCTTTGATGGTAAGGCACACAACCACCATCTTTGATGGTGGCCACAGTTCTGTTTCTGGCCCAGTCTAAGAACTCCCTCCCAGCTTCATCCTACCTTGTCATGGGCAAACATAACGCTGACTGGTCTCCCTGGCTCTTGCAGAAAAGCTTCAGTCTTCTTTACCCATACTTTACTACCCTCATTAGGACTGAAGATTGTTGAACTCCAGTGGGAAGGGGCCTAGCTGCCAGATTCCCTAGCAGCCCACATTCCAAAGCAGCCCATGAAAGCGTGGGTTGGGTGGCTTTTCTCTAGAAGGCCCTGTTAAGAGGTATGCGGTTTACACAGTCAGGCTCATTGTTAAGTCACTGCTTGGGTGTGAACTGTTTCTGCCTTAGCACCGTACCCCCAGTGCCTAGCCCAGTGTGCACCACATAATAGGTACTAGTAGAACTGAAGTGAAATGAACTGAGAGCCTGCCGTCATCCCTATTTACTTCAATCCCCAGAAGCCTCTCAGGTCAGCCATTATCATCCTGAGTCTTGTCTTCACAGTTACTTGTAAATCCTCCAATCTGACCCAACTCCCATTCCTCACCACCCTTCAAATCCTTTCACAGCACCCTTTGGACCTCCTGATCCCCTATATCTTCAACTTCACTTGCAATGTCTTCTCTACTTCCCCACGTAAGCTGCAGCCTTGCTCTCCCACACTTCCTCAATATGTCTCTCAAATACAGGCCATTTGTTTCTCACACCTCCACATGAGGTCTGGAAGGCATCCCTCTTGATCCCTATCACTACTTCCAAACCACTTCTCCTTCTTCTTTCAAAAACTCCAGCTCTTTTGAAATTCTTGTCACGCAGTTGTACCATCCCACATCAGTGTCCCACCCCTAGACCTGAAGGAACAAGAAAGGGAGCTGTGGGACCCAGAAGAAGAGATATGTGTAGAGAAGGCCATGTTGAAGAGCAGAGACATTCAGGTTAGGGACCCAGCCTCCCATCAGATCTGCTGAGGATCCCAATTGGCCAAATCCAACTAGAACCAGAGAGCAAGGAAACCTGTTGGTTTAATCCACAGGTTTCAGCTCCCATGGCACTGAGTGGAACGGAGAAGTGTAGATCTTGAGGGACAAATGGAAGATATCCAGCTTATACCCAATGCTCTTTTTTGATTGCTATCATCTTCTGACCTCTTACTCTTTGAAGACTTCAGCTCCTAGCTCATTATCTTCCTCTCTACACCTTAGTGACTTCAGCACCCATATGTGTGGCCCCCAGTAATCTTTTTCATCCATTCCTATAGTCACACTCTAAATACTACTAACAATAATAACACTATTGACTTAAAGCATCCCACTCTCTGACCACCACCTCTTATCTCTATAGTTCACTAACTCTAATTATTTAATTGTAATTTTCCAACTTTCTTTAGGCCTCCAATCCACTGGCCTCACACTTTTCCACTATTCATCCACTCTCGCACCTCCACTCTCCTGTCTTCACTTTCCACTACGTCCAGAGGAAATTCCACAGACCCCACTCCCTTGAAAGGAACCTTGTCTCTATAATTTATTCACCTGTCAAAAATCTAAGTCTGGTTAAAGCCAACTATCTGCCTTTTCCAGCGGGGAAAAAACACATAATTATGTTGACTGGTTTCTCTCTATATGTTCTATCACAAGCTTCAAATGGGCATTCCAATCTGCCCAGAATTCCTACACTGATTCTGGTAAGTATGCCAATAACTCTTCAAGAATATTATTTCATACCTTCTTTCTCCTTGAGCCTCTCATACTCTGTAATCTCAGTCTCCTCAGCCTCTCATCTGTTCACCACCAATTCTACAAACCTCCCAGTACCTGCATGCATATCCCTGCCCTCCCTCCTGTTACCATGGAATAAGGGTCCCTCCTCCCACCCCTCTACTTGTGTTCTAAATTCCAACCTTTTCCATTTTTTGAGAAATTTGTTCCTGTTCTCGTTCTCTTTCTCTCCTGCATCAATTTTTCTCTATTGGATCATTTTTAACTTCAAATGAATATGTCAAGTAATTCCCATCTTAAAAAATGTCTCCTCCATTCCAAATTCTCCTCCATTTCCCATCCAATTTATCCATTCCCCTTCAAAGAAAAACTTGATTGTCTACAGAGACTGCTTTTCTTCATCTCCCATTATTTCCATCTGCCTTCTATAACCAGCATTGCATGGAAACGTTGCTCTTGTTTAGATCTCCAGTGACTAATTTGTTCCTAAGTCACCTGATCCCACCTATCAGTAGCATGTGACATAGCTGACTGCACTCCCAATCTTAAATCATTTTCCTTTCTTGGTTTTTGTGAACAACATTCTTTCCCGATTTTCCTGCTCTCTCCCTGGCTTTCCTGCTCCATCTTCTTTGCTGGCTCAATCTCCTTTCCTAGACCTCTAAATGTTAATGACCCTAGGGTCTTCTCTCTCCTGAGCTGTCCGCAACAGTAGGCACTACCCACATGTGTCTATTTAAATTTAAAATAATTTAAATTAAATAAAATTAAAATTCAGTCTCTCAATCACACTAGCCACATTTCAAGTGCTCAACAGGCACATGTGGATAGTGGACAACATGGACATAAGACATTCCCATCATTGCAGAAAGTTCTATTGGATAGGACTGAACTAAACTCTCTCCCTAGGCGATCTCACCCAGTCCCATGGCTTTAAATACCATCTATATGCTGAGTTCTAAATTTATACCTCTAGCTCTGACCCAAGCTTCAGATTTGTACATGAAACTGCCTATTTGACGTAATCAGGCTATTCAAACTAACATCCAAAACAGAACATTTCATTTTCATCCTCTCCTCCTCTTACTCTACCCATGAAAGCTTTTTTCTCTTCCTGTATGTCTATTCTTAGCAAATGAAATCAACCAACCAGTTTTGAAGCCAAAAATCTAGGAGCCATCTTGATTCCCAATAACTACCATCAATGAGTCTTATTGACTCTATCCATAAAATATATCTCAAATCTACCCACTTCTACCTCCACCATCATCTTCCTAGTCTAAGGTTCTTGTCTGAGCTACTATCCTACTCATAGGTGATCCAATGCACCTAATCTAGCATATAGCAGGTGCTCATTAGATATGTTGAATAAATTAACAAGTACAATCCTACTAAATAGTGCAAAATAATCTAAACTTTTAAAATATTCGGGAATAATAGATATTTGCCACAGAAACTTTAGGAAATAGATTTTTGAAGATAATAAAAACCACTTCCCAGACTTTACTTATGCTTGGTTATGGCTCAGTATCATTATTCATTTTGTCAATTATGAATACATTTTTCATGCTTTTCACAGCACTATAATGTACCCCCATGCATCTGTTATTTGCATTGTCAGTGCAACTCACCTCCCCAAGAGAAATTTTAGTTGTCGCTCCTTCCTACTTAGCCTTGGCTTTCCTGATTAATCCAGTAGCTTCTTGACCTCTTGATTATCTATAAATTCTGTGCCTGTCACAGCCCAGGACTCAGCTCACCCAGCAGCCATTTATTTTGTTCAGAAGTTCCCAACTTTGTTGCTGTCCCTGCCTGCCACCTAGCTCCTCCCTGCAGTCCTCAACTTCCTTGTCAAGAACACTAAACTTTGACCCATCCTTAACTCAAAATAACTCAACCAATAATTCCAAACAATGTCTCCTACTCCACCCTCTTGGACTCTCTGCATTTACTGGCAGCCCCTAAATGCTTGATAGCCCCCATTCGTTTCAGCTGCATGGCAGGTATGGTCAGACTGATTGTTCCTACAGATAGAGGTAATTACAGTAGTGAGGGGATGGAGTAATAGGGAATGCAAAGGTGTCTTGTGGGGCCTGGAGCCTAGTAATTATTAATATGCCCGGCATCTGCATTGCCTGTGTCAGTTTACAAAGCCATCTCAGACACATCATCATCACAGCAATCCAAATGCTATTATTTGCCTACCCAACAATCACCTCTCCTCCACCCTCCTCCAACTTCCTTCTCTCCAAGAGAACACCCATTTTGTTCAGTATCCACCCTCCATCAAAGAGCAGATACAGCATGTGAGTTGTATTTCATCCTCCACCCGACCCCAGCCAGCTTTGAGGTCTCATTCCTTTTACAAATGGGCAAGTGATACAAACATGGCCAGTAAGAGTGAAAGAAAGTGTGCTGTGAGGAGTTCTGGAAAAGGTTTCCTCACCCTTAAAAAAAGATCCTCAGTGACAAGATCACCTCTTTTTTGGCTCTGGAGATTGCCCTGTCTGGATGTCATTTGTGAGACCACTAACATCTTCTATTAAATGAGGAGAGAGAGTCTTAGGTTGAAGCCATTGCTGAGAACAGCAGAGTGAGAAGACGAAAGAAAACTACATCCTTTGTAATATTCCTAAGCTGTTTTTCATACTGCCCTACCTCTGGACTTCCAACTACGTATTTGTAAACCCAGGGGATTCTAATTCCAACAAAATTTGAGAGGCCCTGACTTCTAAGCCCACAGCTATAAACTTTCACCACCACTTACTAGCTAAGTAATCTTAGGCAAATTATTTAACTTTTACAGAATCCATTTCTTTATTTGTAAAGAGGGGAATAATATTCATCTCATAGCCTTATTGTAAGGAAATAGGGTTACGAGGATTTGACGGCAGACTGAATATGGGAAGTACTGTGAGGTCCGTCAGCCAGAAGATGATACCACAAAGTCCCTAAGTATTTCCCAAACCTGCCTGCTGATATAAATTGACACACTGGTTAGATAAGCTGATGTCAGGACTCTCCTCTGGAGATTCTGATTCAGTAGCTCCCTAGTGGACTCTAAGAGACTGTATTTTTAAAAAAACATTCTAGGCTCTAGGCAAGCGTCATAAGCAAGCAAGTCTGAACTTAGCAAGAGAATACATGATGTAATACTCCTATGCAGCAGGAGTCAGGACTTCTGGTTTCTAAATCTAGATCTGCCATTACTTCACTCGGGCAAGCTGTTTCACCTTTCTGGACCTGTTTAGTCATCAGTATACTTGTCCTACCTACCCTACAGGTCTATAGGGGACTGAAGGCAAATCACATTTGGGGTGAAAGGGCTTCTCTAATCTCAGTATTTTTACACTGCTGCAATGTGGATTAAGTAGACATAAAAACAAGCAAAACTAGGATTGGCGGAGGCATTGGCTTTGTGGTAAAATTAACTGAAATTATTAATTGTAGGACGATGCCTTCTCTACCTTGAGCCACTGAGCTTCCACTCCTCTCAGGATCATGGCATAACTTGAGGTGATGACCCTCAGCTACTCTGGTCACACTGTTTGAGATCCGTGAATACGCCTAGAAAAATTACAAACAAGAGTGTCGGGCAAAAGGAGATTTGGATGAGGCCCCTAAATTCTATTTTTTGTACCAAGGTAACTTTCACCGGCAAACACTTTCAGTAACGTCTACAAGTGCAACAGAAACATTTCCCTTGGCACTTAAGAAGCAAAAGGCGACTATGCCATTGGCCTCAGAAGGACTTCACAAAGTTGGTAGCGCAGGACACCTCCTAACTTGGGAGCTCCGGGGCCTGTAGGACTCACAGGTGGCCTGATCTCAGCGCATAGATGATCTGACGTCGTCAGAGGAGCAAACCAAACTTGTCCAGCGCTTAACATGCCCAATTTCAGTTTACGCTTGAACCACAGCCGCGTGAAGCCGCCACCAAAGCCCTAAAAGCCCGGACTTCCGCCTCTGGCCCTGAGCTCTTGCCAGCGCAGGCAAGCCCAGCCCAGCCCAGCCCAGCCCAGCCCAGCCCAGCCCAGCCCAGCCAGTGGCTCCACACGCCGAGTTTGAGTCTCCTCAGCGCCCGTAGTTCTTGAACTTTCACCGCCCCTCAGCGCCGGCGCCGCGCATGGCACGCATGCGTCGTTCCTTTGAATGGCTGGCGCCCTTATCCTAGCGGCGGCGGGGGCCGCGGGGGCCGCGTTCCTGGCCCTGCGGCTGTGGGTGGTGCTTCATTCCCGGGTCGCCGTGCCGCGGGAGTCTCTCAGTCTCCTGGTGGTGGCTGGGTCCGGTGAGTATCAGGGCGGTGAGTGTCGGGCTTGGGTCGGTGACTACAAACCCCAGAGTACACCGCGGCGCTCTTCGCTGGTCTCCTTAGCAGTTTTTGGAGCGTTGCATCCTGAGATTTGTAGTTTCCCTGCGTTGCCGGAACCGGGCGGCCCAGCCGGGGCAAAATGCTGGTCGGCAGTCGCGGCCCAGGCGTCATTGATGACAAATGAGTAACACTTGTCTGTACTTAGGCTTCTCTGTAGCGCATATTTTCCTAACAAGTTATTAGCGAACCGAGAGGACGCAGAAGCCTTTTGATGCTAACGTGCAATTTCTCTGAATAAAAATTGCTCTTTTGTATTATTAATCTGGGCGTTTTGTATTTAGTTTAGGAATCACGAATACTACATGATGAATGTGGCAAAGTGAATTGTCACGTTTATAAATATACAAAATCCACGAGGATAAAAACAGTTATCTACTGAGGTGAAACAATACTTAAGGATATTATGTCCGAGTATGAACAACAAGCTGGCCTGTCAGGTAATACAATCTGAACAGACACAGTCCACAACAACAAGCTGGCCTGTCAGGTAATACAGTCTGAACAGACACAGCCCACCAGCCCTGTAGGCACTTGCAATTTAAATGGACATTTCTGACAGAGATATACAAATACATGCTGTGTACATTGAGAAATGCCAGGAAATTGCATCCAGATAGAACAATATTTATAGTATGAGCAAACATTCTAAACTTAATGTTCAAGTATAAGTCATTACTTTATTCACTTAACGTATTTTGAGCCATACAAGAGGCCAGGCACTATGCCAAACTCTGAAAATAACAAAACTGACTAGTACAACTTACCGGTGGAGTGCTCACTGTGTCCCAAGCAGTGTGAAAGGTACAAGGATACAGTAGTGAATGAAATGGAGAATATAGAAAAATTAACAGAAAACAAAAAACAAAATGGGTGCTCGCCACAATGAGCTAAGCACTGTAATCAGGGAGGCACAAACTGCCGTGGAAGTCTTCAGGAAGGGTGCCAATTGATCTGAACTTGAGACAAGAAGCTTCCTGGAAGAAGTGATGTCTAGACTGAGACTTGAAAGATGACCAAGACAAAGGGGATCTGGGGCTTTGAGGGCTGAGAGGATGTGAAAAGAAGTCAGTAGCACTTGGAATGGCCAGAGGTGAGAGAGCACTATTGCGTTGAGTTCAGTGTGGGAAGGTAAACCCAATCCAGATCCTAAAGGGCGTTTTAAACCCTGCTCTGTAGAGCTGTTGACACTCCACTCCTTCATACCACGTAGGGATTAGGACCACAGGCCTCTGGATTGATGTAACGCTGGAGTTGGATCACATCTCTGCCACTTAGTATCTTGGTGATCTTGGGCATATTAGTTAACCTCAGTGAGCCTTCTGTTTCCACCTTGAAACATGTCGAATGAGAAGAGGAAAAGGAGAGATTAAATGTAGTAGGATTTAAAGTGTTTAGCAAAGTACTTGGCATATGGTAAGCATTTAATTAAGTGGACAGTTAATAAATGGTGGCTATTGTTAGTCCTGGTAGCAAAGAGATCTTTTAAAGTACTTTTGAATGGAGAGTGACCCACTTAAATCAAAGCTTTCCCAAAGATCATTCAGCCTGCATTGTCAAGAGAATGTTTTGACAAAGACTGAGGTAGGGAGACAAGTAGGAGCCTTTTGAATAATTCTGATGACAGATGATGACAGCCTGACTAGGGTGATAGGTGTGGGGATGGAGAGAAGTGTATGCATTTAAATGAGATTTAGGAGATGAAAAAAATCACAGGGCTTGTGAGGGCTGAGGGAAGGAGGGACCCAAGAATGATGTCCAGGTTTCTGTCTTGAACAAATGGATGTTAGAGCCATTCACTTAACAATTAGATTTGATGGACTGGGAACCAAAATTAAGATTGAGAATTCACCTGGCAAGTGGTGCCCTCTGTCATTCAGGGTAGGGAGAGATTGAAGACCTCAAAGAATCATCCAAGTCAAAGAAAAACTTGTAGTCATATAAACTGTCTAATAGTTTATGCCCAAAATTTTGGAGGAGGGGGAAGGCATTTTCACTGTTTACTGTGAATACCAAAAAACATTTAATCCTTAGATACCATTAAATATTATTAGTTGACCACTTATATTCAAAGAATATCAATCAAAATTACTACTTTTCTTTGAAGCACCATGTGATCTCCTTAGGCAAATTTTAGATTTAATATCAAACACTCATCCATCCATCCATTCAATAATAGGAGTGCCTACTATTTTCTAGGCACTGGGGATACAGCACTAACAAAATGAACAAAAATCCCTGCCATCGTGGTGCTTAACCTCTAACTGAGCAAGGGTGGAGGGAGACAAAAACAAAAGAATAAATAGACTGCATAGTAAATTATACAGTGATAAATACTGTAAAGTAGGGAGAGGGAGTTGCTCTTTAGACAGAATTGTCAGGAGAAGCCTAACTGGGAAGATGACATATCCAACAGCAAGAAGGCCAGAATGGCTGGAGTAGACTGAGTAAGGGGGGAAGAAGCGGATGAGGTCCAAGAGGGAACAGAGTAAGGGGTCAGATTACAAGCAGCTTTTTATTCCGTGTGAGAAGGGAAGCCATTGGAGGTTTTGAGCAGAGGTAAATAATTTGATCAACTTTTTTAATAGCATCCTACTGGATGCTGTGCTGGGAATAGACTGAAGTGGACCCTTGAGTAGACAAGTGGAGCTGGGGGGGACAGACAGGGAAGCTATGGTCATAGTCCTTGTGCGAGTGATGTGGCTTGAAGCAGGGTGGTAGCAAAGGAGGTAGTGAGAAGTGATTACATTCCGGATATATTTTAAGGTAGAACTGAGAAGATTTAGTTCCCAAAGAATTTATCTTAATAAAGAGTAAAATGGAAGACAAAGCCCATCATTTTAATTGCCTTTATTCAGTGGCAAGGTTAAATTTTCAAAGAATGTATTCAGTGAGGATTTCCTTAAAAAAAAAAAGAGACAGAGCAGGGGTTATGAAGTTTTAATTGCAATGGAAGATGTGGATATTAGGTTTTTATCCTTAATTGTTCCAGCTGTGAAAAACAAGTACCTGCTTTGCAAACCACCCCAGTTTTTCAAGGCTAAAAATGAAAGTACTAAAATGAGTATAAATCAGATGTGTAAATTACTTGCCCCAGACAAGAAATGGGTGGCAAGTTATAAAGTTAAAGTATGATTCTAATTCTTGAAACTCGCACTTAACCTATGCCGATTTCATTTCTATATCTAATTCCTTCTGGAATCCAGTGAGTAATCCTTCCCTTTTCACTGTAAGAAAGTATATGCGTTGGGAGAAAACACATGCTTAATTTGTTTGGTTATCCTTGTCTATGTTCGCTTTATCACTATTGAGAGCGCTTTCTTACAACAATAAGGAGGGGGGAGCTTTGTAGATGGGGCAAAGTGTGACCAGAGGCGAGGAGGAGGTAACAAATAAGATGGAAACAGAGACTGCTAAGGACATCAATCTGGCTGAGGCTGGGAGACTGAGAAATGAAACTGAATGGGTATGATAGGGCTCCTTGATAAGAAGTTTGATTGCTTTGCTGAAATAATATATAGTTAATGTGATAGGGTGATGTTCTTTGCGGTTTTTTTCCATGAAGGAAACCTCAGTGAACACAGATGATTTTTAAATTCATGGTTTTGAAATTAAAGTAATAAAATTTTGGAGATTGTACAATTTCAAAAATTGAACATACAGTTGTTTGGTGAAGCTGGTAAATATGTATTTGAGGGCCGGTGGTGTGCTGAGACCTCTGTTAGAAGCTGAGGTTACGGTGGTGAACAAAAGTCTTCCTTAGGAAGTCCTGAATCCTGCGGTCAGTGCTCATGCCTCCCTGACGTTACTTCTCAACACAGAAGCGTTCAGTGACTGTCTTCCCATTTTTCCACCTACTTTCCTGACCTTACTTCACCCTCATCCTTCCTCCCAGTATTCTCCCCTTCCCTTGTACATACATCTCAGATCTTGCCATCTCATGTCCTAATAATCCTGCCCCTGCCCGATGGCCTCCCTACGCCTATCTGTCCATTAGCCTCACCTTTCAAATCATCTCAGCCTTTGCCATGGATCTCCCCTACTCTTATGGCATTGATTTTTCATAACCATTTGCTTACTTCCCCATTTAAATTTAAATTTAAATTTTTAAACCATTTAAACCATTTAAATTTTTCTTACTGTCTTGCATCATTCTTTGTATGTGTGTGTGTGTCCTGCCCCTCTCCCACCAGTCTTCTCTATAACAGGAGCTGTGTCTTACACTTCTATGTACCTTCCTCAGCACCTACTGCTGGTAGTATAATACTGCTTGTATTTTTATACATTTATTAGCCTCTTCACTCAGATGAAAGTAGTATTTATACAAGGGCACAGATTATTGTTTCCAAATGTTCCTTCTGTCTTTTAAGAAATACACAGAACATAACATTAGTATAACATAGTCAAATGGATATGTCCATTGGGAGTTTCTTAACCTTTGGCCTTCTGATATTTTTTCCAGGCGGGCATACTGCTGAGATCCTGAGGCTGCTGGAGAGCTTGTCTAATGCTTACTCCCCTAGACATTATGTCATTGCTGACACTGATGAAATGAGTGCCCATAAAATAAATTCTTTTGAACTAAATCGAGCTGATAGAGACCCCAATACCAAGGTAAGTGATAATTTCTATTTCTAAGAGAGTTACAAGTTGTATATTGAGTTTAATTATCTCTGGAAACAATATCATGGCACTTTAGTACCCTGCCCACTCAAGGTAGTCAACTGTTTGTGGCTAATGAAATATATTTACTTTACTACCAAAAGATTAGAATTTCTTTAAAATAAATCTTCAAATAAAAATGGTTGCTTAAATTTCTTATATTCTCTTTTATTCTCCAGAAATAGAGGAAGTTGTTTTCCAGTTAATTCCAACTGTGAAAATTGTTTTATTTATACTTACATCCATAAAGCATCCAGTTCATGTACTTACTGGCTCTTCATTAAAGGTCTTTGTCAATGTATTACATTTATATAATTTGATTTGTCTATGACTACTTATTCTTCAAATTGTACTTGTATCTGCCTTTAAAATTACTTCTCCACCCCAGGTTGCTCACTTCATTTTAAAATTTTAGTCAGAATTTGGGGTAAAAGAAAAAAAGTGAAGCTACTTTATGAAGGAAGAAAACTATTCCTTGAGGAATTGCTTGAGGAAGAGCTATTCCTTGTGTAGATCGTCTCCATCCATCTCTTTCTCTGGTACCTGCCCAGCCATGGGGCTGCAACAGATAATTCAGGAGTGGACAGCTGACCCAGCTCAGGCCACTCAGAGTGCTTCTCTGGGCTTTTTGGAGTTGGGGACCCTGAGAATGGAGGCAGTCTTTCTTCAGGGGCAAACTCTCTAAAAGATAAAACTTGGGAGCTGCTGGCAGTCATGTTTTCACCTGGCGGATGAAGACAGACTACAGATAGAGAAAAGAATGCAGTTAATATACAGGAAGAATAAAAAGAGAAAACAGGTAGTGAGTCCTGCCTTCAGTGAGTCCAGAGGCCCAGCTGCATCTGTGGGTCCTGGCTTGGTGGTTCTTATCTTTCTCGGAAATCAGGATCCACTAAGCTAACTCCTCTCCCACTTCACCCTCCTTCCCCCTCCTGCTCCCCACCCCCTGGCCTTTTTTCAGCTTGTTTTAGTTGAGTTTTGGTCACTTGTAAACATGGTCCCTAACTAAAATACTATTAAAATGTATTCTTGGAGAATCCAGGTCAGACAAGATGAGAATCTGCCTGCTGTTATTCAGCCATGGCAAAGTGTATGGTATGTTTTTTCTATGTGGGAAATGAGCCAAAATGCTTCATTTCTGTTTTAGGAGTCAATACTGTGTTAGTTTCCTAGGGCTGCTGTAACAAAGTATCACAAATTGGATACTTAAAACAACAGAAATTTATTCTCTCTCAGTTCGGGAGGCTAGAAGTCCAAAATTAAGGTGTCATCAGGGCCATGCTCCTTCCGAAGGCTTAGGTGAGAATTCTTCTTTGCCTCTTCCTAGCTTCTGATGGTTGCCGCCAGTCCTTGGCATTCCTTGTCTTGTAGCAGCATCATTCTGGTCTCTGCCTCCATTGTCACAGGGCCACTCCTGTGTCTCTGTCTTCACATGCCCTTCTTATAAGGACACCAGTCATTGGATTTAGGGCCGACGCTAGTCCAGTGTGACCTTATCTTAGCTTGATTACATCTACGAGACCCTGTTTCCAAATAAGGTCACATTCACGGGTTCCAGAATTTGGGGAGGACACTTTTCATCCCTGTGAGCCAGTAGTTGATTTTTTAAATAATGTGTGAGACAGATAATAGTATCCCTCATTTTACAAATGAAAGAATTGAGGCTCAGAGATGTAAATAACTTGGCCAGGGTCCTGCCAGATATGCGGCACTTACCTGAATGTGTCTTCTCCAAAGCCTGTGCTCTTTGTGCACACGCCACTCTGCCTGTTCTGTACATTCTTTTCCAACTCAAAATACCAAGTGAGAAAAGAATGCCTTAGGAGTTCTTATCCAAGGCATCAGAGACTAAAAATGTTATTTAATCTCTCATAGATAGTACTGTAATTTAGCAGACTACTTAAAAAATATAAAGGTTAAATAAGTACAAAATTCTTAGTGTTTTCAGCATAAGGAATAGGCATCTTTGTTTTTACCCAATTATTAGTGTGCATATTCTTTTCTTCTTTCTGAAGTTGCATCCAATTTGGAAGCTCCAGTTTTAATTTAGCATACATATTGTATATTTCCCTCCAGGTCTATCACCATATGTATTGTTTATTTGCTGAATTATTTCGTGGTTTAGTGAAACATTTGGAAGATTGTTATATATTGTGAATCAATGATGACACTTTACAACCCAGTAAGTTAGGTTTGATTCACTTTAATAAGAAAGCCAAAGATTTTGGATTTTTTTAGTGCTATTAATTTTTCCTGTTATCAAAGTAGCGCCACCATGTAGGACTAAGCGTTTCTGTCTGACTTCCTTCTTCCATCAGTTAATTTACTGCTAGGGTAATGCAGTCCCCGCTGGAGAAAAAACACTATCCCATTCCTGAAAGGGTTTCAACTCCTAAATCTGAAGCTGGGAAGAGTTTCTGCAGAGATGCAGAGGAGAACTGTTGAGGGCGGTAGCGTTAACATGCCTGTTGTCCTTTCTGCTGGCTACGCCTTTGTGCCACACTTGAGGGAGAGGAGGCAGGGTGGAGAGACACCTTCCCACCAAGCTTTGTTAAAAGGGAAGAATCCGCTTACTCCTCTCTTTCTACACTACTTAGCTTAGGGGAGTTCTACCTGCAGCCCCCCTGGAAGCTACCATTGTACCTTCCATGGAACTCACAAGACTGGGGAAAGGAGGGATGTTAGTGAAGAAATCAATAGTCATCAATACATTTGCTGGCAGAGCCTCATCAGCCAAGAATACTGAACGATCTAGGTCTGCGCTTTCTAGTACAGTAGCCACCAGTACTGGCCCAGCACCGCTTGCTGAATAGTCCTTCTCCTACTGATCTGCAGTGCTGCCACTGTTATATCAAGTTTCTCTGTATGTGTAGCTCTGTATCTGAGCTTTCTTTGTGAACTGGTTCATTTGTCCCTGGGCTAATATCGAGCTCCGTTTGTCTTACTCTTCAGAACCGTCTTAATTGTTCTTTTTTTTTTCACAGAGGTTTTTGAATTAGCTTTGACAAGTTCACAAAGAACCCTGTTGGAATTTTTATTTGAATTGAATTGAATCAATACATCAGTTTTAGGAGAATTTACATCTGTGTAATGGTATCTTCCTATCCAGGAATATCATCTCTCTCTCCATTATTTAGATCTCCTTTAATACTTTTCAGTACCATTTCTAATTTTCTTTATAAGAGTCTTGCCTATCTTTTGTTGTTTTTATTTCTAGGTACCTTGTGTTGTTTTATTATCGTTGTAAGTGATGTATCTTTTATAAGAACCACCTTGCTACACTCTAATTAATCCTAATAATTTGTACACTTTTTGTTATCTATGAAGAGAATCTCATCATCTGCAAATAGTAACAATTATGATTCTTTCTTTCTAATCCTTACACCTTTTATTCTTTTTCTCATTTTGTTGTTAGAGCTTTCAGAACAGTGATGAATAGAAGCAGTGTAGTGGTCATCCTTGCATTATTTCTGATTTTAAAAATTGCCAGGAGTTTTATTTTAAATCACATTTGGTTGTTGATTTTTATCAAATGTCTTTTCTGCAGCCTAGATGATCATATAGTTTTTCTAATTTTGTCTGTTTACATGGGCAATTACATGTCATGAACTATTCTTGAATTCCTGGAATAAACCCAACTTGTTCATAGTGTGTTATATTTTAATACATTGCTGGATTTTGTTTGCAGACGTATCATTTAGGATTTTTTCATTTATGTTCATGAGTGAGATTATCCTTTACTTTTCCTTTCTCATGCTGTTCTGTAGTTTGGGTATCAAGGTTACACTAAGAGTAGGGTGTATACACCTTTTTGTTCTTGGGAGGAATTTGTGTAAGTATGGAATTAATTTTTAAGTTTTGTAGAACTTGTCTGTAAAACTACCTGGCCCTGATGTGTTCTTTCTGTTATGGTTATAGGACTCTTCAGGCTTTCTGTTTCTTCTTAAGTCAGTATTTTTCTAGGAAGATGTCCATTTTTTGTAAGTTTGCAAATGTATTGGCCTAAATATTTTTGTAATATTCTCTTGTCATTTTTGTAATCTGTGCTGTAGTGTTTGCATGGTATATCTTTCTCTAGCTCTTTATTTTTACTTTTTGGTGTGTCATTGTGTTTTAGGTGTGTCTTTTATGAATGACATATAGCACCATTTTTAAAATTCAAAACCGAGAATCATTCTTTTTAACTAGCATGTTTGGTACGTGTACATTTATTGTGATTATTAATGTATTAGATTTATTTCTGCTATTTTATTTGGTTCTTTCTACTTACTTTACTTTTGCTTTGAGCCTTTTTTCCCCTCTTTTTCTGTCTTCTGTTTGGATTAATTTAGCTTTCTTTGTCTTCCCTTTTTCCCTTCTCCTGGAATAGAAATTATTCTACTCTCTTAGACATTATACTTAAGTTGTTAACAAGGATACCTAATTTAAAGTCAAAAACTTAATATCTCCGTCCTCCTCCTGAAAAACAAGGCTTTTGGCATGTTTTAACTGTGATCACCTCCCCCCATCTTATATGTTATTGTTTAGTTTTTTGGTTCTACCTTGTTTTTATAGCACCCAAATTGTTTATTACTATTATTATTTTATGCAGTCAGTGCTTATTTAGGTTTATATAGCATTTTCTTTGCTTACCAATGCTTATCTGATGTCTTTCTTTCAGGACTCTGTCTTTTATTAGTTCTTTCATGGAAGGTCTGGATTTATTCTTTCTGTGTTTTTTGTTTGCCTGAAAATGTGTTTTGGTTTTGCCCTTCTTTTGATTGCATTTTGTGTTTAGAATTCTAGGTTGATTTTTTTTTTCTTCATAACTATGAATTTAGCATTCATTCATTTATTTAACAAGTATTTATTGAATACCTACTGAGTGCTAGTGATACAGTAGTGAATAAAACATGCAAAAATCTCTGACCTCATGGTGCGTACATTCCAATGGGGGGATAATAAGCAAGATA